AATCATATTGCACGTTTAGCAGTATGGCTGAAATCACATTTGTCCATGTCCATTCTTTATTGGCAGATAAATAACTCCTCCGTATTTGAATTGGTACCTCGTAGTTCAGGTTTGTAGTAGGCTTATAGGAATTATTACTCCTCCAGTATGGTTAGCGTTATTGATGCTGGTTGGTATCAACATCCGTAATATGTAGACTTAACGAAATAACACATTTATATTACTTATCTGTGATATTTAGGTTCTTCCTGTGTCCTCATTTTTCTTCTGCGTGTCACTGTTTTCTATCTTACTAAAGCAAGGCAGTTTTGGCATTTTCTTTCAAAATTGTGAAGCATTGCTACAGCTCTTTGCTGTTTAGGTAATTTCTTGCCCAGAGTAGGGTTTTTTGGAACTCAGATTTTCCTGTTAGAGGAAATGATGAAATGGAAGAATTGAAGGCATATTCTGTACTCTTGCATGCTGATAGCCACATTAAAGATGTTTCTTGCCAGAGCTGTATAATATCATCTGAGATGCTGCTCCTTATAAGCAGATAAAAAGTCAGGTTGCAACGCCAACTCTTGCAATGCTTTCCATTTAGGGAAAGGCTCCGACGGAAGTAGCTTTGGTTCCACCCAGTAATAACTATCTGACCCTTTATTCATACATCTGTCTTCCAGTCAGTCTAGAGATTTGAATTGCAGGACTAAGTTGTCCCAGGTTTAGCATGACAACTTAACCAGATGTTTGCTAGAACTTTTACTTTTCCCTGAAAATCCCTCAGTCTCTAAGGGTGGCTGTTTTTCCTTGCAGGTATTCTTTGAATGTTTCTCCTTCTTCCAGGAAATAGTTTTCTCTTGTTGGAACTTGCACGCATCTGGGAAACTGAGCCAATTTGCTGCTTTAGATCCCTACAGTCCCTTATAAGAAATTCATCAATTCTGTTGTGTCTGTGTGAGTGGCAATCTAGTATTCAAGCGAGCTTGCTCTGGGAGTGCTGGCAGCCACAGAACATGGTGATTTGCTAATTTAAGCCATTATTGAAAAGATAAAAATACGAGCTTTTGTCTAGTTGAGACCTTGTTTATGTCAACAGGTCAAATTGTTTTGAGAGCAGCACTGAAAATGCTCCTTGGAATGAAAGTGTCCGCTCTGGTGGGAGGAATTATATTCATTTTAAACTTGCAGCTTGGAATATATTTAAGCCCTGTCTACACAGGAAAGATTTAAGTCCGTCTTGGACGCAGGAGTCAAACTATATTTTGGAAACAATGATGGCTTAGCAATGCTGCAGTATACAGTGGGTTCAAAAACAAAAATCCCTGTTCTACAAAACATGAAGCTTGTAGTGTGCCTCAAGACTTTGGTTTGAGGGTTGTCTGCTTGCTAAAGGTTAAATGGCGATATGTTTTGGCTACCTCTCTCCTAATAAATTAAACGTGCCTGGGAATGTTCCCAGGCACTGAGGCCAACTGGCTTACAACTGCCCGCATCCTCACTCTTAAACTCTTCACTTCCAGGGCAGGGGGGCTGCGTCTGAACTGCCTGATGCCACTGGTCCCGATCCTGTGCTGACTCTCAAACCTGGGAATTGTGTGGGAGAACGCTCGTTGGCATGGGCCAATGCTGGGGAATGTCCTAGCTACTTTGGAGCATACATGATCGTGTTCCAATGCCTGGGAATGTTTCCAGACAATATTTAGTTTATGAGGACAGATGTTAGTCCTTGATTCTTCCAAATTCTTTATGGACTAAGGCAAAGACTGACTCTTCATCTCTCAAGGGATTTGGGATGCTTTAGAAGGGTTTAAGACAGAATGCCTACTATTTATTTTTGGTTCCCTACTACATAAAGGGGAGACAGGAAGCACAGACTTTCAGATGATTTTGGTGGTGATTTAAACGTCTTTCAGAATGCAGCCACCTTTTGGCCACCAGCTTGCTAGGATGAATAGGAGTGTCTGCCCTCCCATCAAGCTGCTGCTTGTATATGAATGAGCATATTGTGTCGGAGTAGTAACTGTAGCACTTTCATGGAAGTGCTGTACATGAATTATGCTTTTTATGGCTGTGGGGGATTTCATCCTGTTTTAGGGTCTGTGTGAATTCTTAAGAGTCCTAGTTTAGTGGCTGGGGTGCATTGGGGGGGGGGGGTAGGAGAATGGGGAGACCACTTTATTTCCTCAGATGTTTCTCCTAGTGAACAGTAAAAGCTGCATGGAGCTGACTTTATTATTGATCATACAGGGTGATTTCCAGCAGGCTCCTTTGTGTTTGATCGTGAATTATTGGAATGGGAGTGAAACCCTAGCGTCGGTGAGCCAGTAAAAACATTGATGTTAATCCCAGTTCTAAGCAGACATGCCTCCTGGAAGACAGCCTATCACATAGGCTGCTGACTAATGGAGGTTTTGCTCTCCTCTTTAACTTGATCACTTTTTCTGGATCTCCATTTTTTCCCCTTACTTCCTTACCACCTTCTTTCTCCATGGTGTCCTGTGTTTCATTGCAAGTTTTGGCTCCATCATAGTCTCTTCAGAATACTGCTTGTCTTTTCAGAGATTTTGGAATATACTGTCAGCTTTGACAGCTCAGATACTGAAGAGAGAAGAGGTTAACAGTACCAAATACTGTTCCTGTTCATCAGATTTTGTCAAGGGCTGTAAGGCTTTACTTTTGCACGTATTGTCTTAAAAGCTTTGTGAAACAGCTGCATGGTGGGTCACAGTTGCACACTGGTACAGCCCACAGTGTGGGACCACATGCGGTCTGTCTGACGGTATGAGTTTTATGCTGTTGTATAAAGGATCCTTTGCTCAAAGGTAGTAAGCCGTCTGTCGTCAGAGCTGGCGTGTGGGTTAATAAGCAGCATGCTTTGTGTCTGCTGATTGTTATTCTAATTAGATGTGCGTGATGATCTGTCTTGCAAGCAGTAGGGATGCAGTAGGGATGCGTATTTAAGGGAGCAATGCAGTGCAGCAGTGCTGCCTGTGTGTCTTCAGGGCAGCTATTTCAATCCTCACAGAGCTTCTGGCAGCTTACTTTCCCAGAAGCATTTTAGAAATATGAAGGAGAGTTTGCAGGCTCTACTGATCCTGTAGTGGTCAGTATCCCTCTTCTGACCGCTCTGTTTCTGGAGAGCAGTGATATTATCTGGACATTGGGTAGAGGTGCTTGTTCAGAACAGCTGGGTCTTTTGAAGAGATGGCTGCATGTCAGAGAATGGGCCTTCTCCACGTGGCTCGCTCCTGCCAATGCAAAAAGTCATCTAGTATAAGATTTGCTTGTGTTCGTTATCAATGACGCGTCAAAGGCCACAGTGTGTGGGGCTTTGTTTCGGTTTTGACACGTTTATCTGTCATAAGTGCAGGCTGCTGCCAAAAACTGTGCTCTCGCTCTTCCTTTATAGTGTTTGTGTAGCCCCACAGGGAATAAAGGAACTGATCTGGCTGAGAAGTAACTCACAAAATGTTAATTTTCTGCCACGTGTGTTCTGGGATCAGATGGTCAGTTCACTGGTTTGGCTCGTTGCTCAGTTGCATGAACATGCCCACCTCCTTTGGGGTGGCTTTAGAAATAAGGCACGTGGGACAGGTTGGAAGGGGACCTGAACTACTCATGCCTTTTGTCAGTAGCCTAGGCGTATTACTGAAGCAGCCATATTATTGAAGCAACCATAGAATTAATGTAGTTGTCAACTCGAAAAGTGGTCTTAAATACAGTGCTGTGCTGTCTTGTCTTTTCTCTCATAACACTAATGAAATCCATTAATGAATTTCCCTGTGAAAGGAGAAATAAAAATGTCTATCTCGCTTCTCTTTAATAAAGCACTTAATCCAAACTCATGAGTATATCAACGAAGCTTAGAGGCTTAAATTTAAATATCAAAGCTAAGAGTTTGGTGAACTTGGCTTCTTTTCTTTCTAGTATAACTTTTCAGAGACTACTAACTTCAAAGGTAATGTGCCAGCCAGTCAATCTTCAGGCATTGTGATTAGCTAGTGGAGCTGTAAGGTGCTCATCAAACAAATTCTCTTCGTTTCTGAGATGGAAAGTCTAGCTATGTGTTACTTAGGTAAAATAAATGAAACGCTTCCAGTGGTCACAGAATAAGTCTGTGACAGAGCTGAGCTTGAATGTATGGTTTGAAAACATAACTGCCTATTTACAAACCCATGCTATTTTCTTGCTTTGCTTAAATCTGCTGCTGCTGCTCTTAGTTTGTGTCTGTCACTGGAGGCTGCTTTTTCTTTACCGCTCTCATCATATCATTGAAGCAGTTCCGTAAAGAAATGGTTCTCTCTCTTTTCCTCCTGCTTTCCTGGTCTGCTTGATTTTTACCAGTTAAAGTTTTGTTATCCTATAATTAAATCTTAATACAGTTTCACAGCATTGTATTTTAAACATTGCGTTTTGTGGAAAGTAGTGTTTAGCTCTTTCGTCGAGGAGAGTACAGAAAACAGAATTATCAGCTACAACCTGCTCTTCTTCAGAATCCAAACTTTCTTGTTTAGGGAAAAGCAGTAAGTTAGTATGTGCATGGAGAAGGAGATTGATACTGAAGTGGTGGCACCTGAAAGTTAGGCTGCAACGGTTCAGTTTCAGCTACCCAAAGTGTGTGTTTGGAATCTTAGATCAGTTTATGTTTAAAAACAAAAACAAAAAAAAAAACCCAGAAATTACCCTTTAAAACGGAATGTTGTTAAGAGCTAGGCTGAGGAAGTTTTGCCTGTTTTAAGGACCGTTACGACTGTATCCGACTACTTAAAACCAGGGGACTTGTTCACCTTTTAAAAACATTATCATTTACCTTGAATCACGTGTTCCATTTTAATAGCCTCCTTCATATAGAAAATATAGCATTAGATGTCAGTTTAAATGCAAGCCTAATATTGCTTTATCTTCTATGTGAAAGGACGTATTCTGTACATTTTTCCATGTTTGACATCATGGTGTTTTGAATAACCATGTTCCATATTCATATCAATTTTTTGTTTTTGTTTTCAATTTATGCACAGCACTTGCTCTGAAATTTGGGGACTGAGTACACCAAACACGATAGATCAGTGGGATACAACAGGCCTTTACAGCTTCTCTGAACAAACCAGGTGAATATTCTGCCCTCTCTCGCATCATAGAAGTCTTGTGGGAGGAGGGATTGGCTGTGGAGGGTCTTTAGTGGGATGCTTTAGCTGTAAAATAGACTAAAATGCTTCCTAGGCCTCTCACGGTACAGCATTTTAAAATAATTGCTTGCCAGTATAGAAATCTAAGTGTTCTCAGCTGATGTTTTGACCAATGAAATTCTAATTCTGGAGTACTCCTTTTTCACGCCAGTGCCGTTGAAAGAATGGGAAGACTTGTTACATGCAAGCTCTGATGTGATTTGGTACTTATATCAACAGAGTTGAGATGCTTAATTCTTTAGACCTAATCTTACAAAGTGTTTAAACTGCTTTGTATGCCACAAGCTTTCAATTAAATCTTGCTAATTGGATCAGATACGAGCTACTAAAGTATTGTTTGTAAATTCTTCAGTAGTTAATGGTGGGCAAATTCTAAACGGGGTCTTTATTTTTTCATGTCACATTACTTAATTTGTGTATTGAGGTTTGTCTCCCATCCCATAACACTCATAAGCATCTGCATTTGTGTAAGCCTATGCAGTGTGTCTTAAAACTAGCAAAACACTTTCAGCTGGTAGCAAGGCAGATGAAGTCAAGAAGATAAACTGTACAGCCCTTACAGGATGTGTATTCATGCTTTTTGTGTTACAGTTATCCTGCCATGTGGCTCACTTGGGCAGCTGACTGCTTATAAGCTTATTTGCAGTCCTGTGGGAATTTTTATGCTTAAAGCCATAAAGCATCCATGCCACAGCAAAGCTGTGAGGTTTAGAAACTCAAGGGAGTATTGAGTGTATGTGTGTTGTTTTTTCTAACAACTGTCTTCTGCATTTAAAAAAATATGTAAGAAGCCATCATCTTAAATACTTGGAGGTAAAGTGGCTTTTCAGGGAATCCCACGCTCACTGGCAGTAATTTGTGCAGCTCAAAAATAAGTTAAAGCACTTCTTAATGCCATTTTCCGTACGTTTGAAGCCTTTTACCAAGCATGTTTATAAATGTCATTAACAGTGCCAATCCACTGAATTCTGAAAATAAACAAACTACCCATCCCATGTGTGTACACTGTTGCTTAGGTGATTAAGAGACAGCATGCAGCCTATAAATACTTCTCAACATCTTTCCCATATAGATCTCTCGATGGCCGTCTACAGGTATCTCATCGTAAAGGATTACCACATGTTATTTACTGTCGCTTGTGGCGCTGGCCAGATCTTCACAGTCACCATGAACTTAAAGCAATTGAAAACTGTGAATATGCTTTTAATCTTAAAAAGGATGAAGTATGTGTAAACCCTTACCACTACCAGAGAGTGGAGACGCCAGGTAGGAAGACTGCTTCGGCCGTTCTGTAGCAGCATGTGTGTGTACTTATTCAACGTAACGTTTTAAATGAAAAATAGAAAAGGAGGATGATTTCTCTTGCCAAAACTGCAAGATGATTGAAAATACAGGTTTTGAGAACACCATCCACTGAAAGTTTAGTAAAGCTAAATACAGTAAAGCTACTGAAAAATCCGTATTTTACAAATGTGTTGAACACCTTTGATAAACACTTTCAGTAATACTGGCAATTTCCAGTTGGCTAAGTGTAGTCCAACATGAAAACAAGAATGGAAATGGCTTACCTTAGCTAATATGGGGTAATCTTACTCAACAGGGACCTCACAAATCTGTTTGGGGTAGCTAGCAGCTCTGTAGCAAACAACAGTCCCCTGACATTTAGAAGTCTTCAAGGAATCTAAAGACATTTTTAGACAATTTAGTTTTTTTTCCTTTTAGCTCACAGAAGCAAAGTGTGTATTTCCTGAGTCTTACTAATGCTTTAAAATTTTCATTCCCAGTCTTGCCTCCTGTACTAGTGCCACGGCACACCGAGATCCTTACAGAACTTCCACCTCTCGATGACTATACCCATTCCATTCCTGAAAACACTAACTTTCCAGCTGGAATTGAACCACAGAGCAATTACATACCAGGTATCTTCTTAACTCTCACTGAAACAGCATGTTTAGCATTGTACCGTTGGAACAAAGATGGTAATTTCATCCTCCTGAGTGATTGAATGGCTTGGAAGATGCACCAACAAGTGTTTTCTTATCTTGTTGATTTTGTTTATGGATATATTAATTCCTGGGGAAATATTTGATCATAGTTATTTGCAAAACACAATCCTGGGTGAAAGCGCATGTGCTGTTGCGTTAGTACAAGAAGCTTGCTTATGATTCACAATGCTAGTGAGTACAAAGTAGACCTTTGCCTCGTGCTTTAAGCCTGTTTTGCAAACATATAGGGGTTGCCAGATGCTGTATATGGAGATTGAGAAGTAAACTGCTGCTCAATTTCTTAGCACATTTATAGATATGGAGAAAACTTTTTTAAGTCATTGCTCTCGCAACTTGAAGGGGTTTTTTGAGTTGTAGGTTGCAACTGATCAAAGTGTGTTTTGCATATTCGTTACTGTTGTGTCCACACACTCTTGTCCTTTTTTAATATGAAAGTTCAATTTTGTTATGTTGTTCTGTGAAATATTTCTTCCTCCACCTGTTTGCTTCTTCCCTGCCCCAAACAAATATCAAGACTAAGCTGCTACTATGCACACACATGCTTGTGTCCATATTGTGATGTAAAAAGAGCAACGGTTATTTCCTGCTCTAACTTCCTGTTTCCTGTCTCTTCAGGAAGTTGCTTAGATTGTAAAACCACACAAAGCTGAAATTCTCACTAATGTTTAATGAAACTACCTTACAGCATCCAAGGACTGATGAATAAGCTGAAAATGCAGATCCTGACTCTAGAAAAATAAGATGATTACCTTGAAGCTCAGAACGTATAATATGCAAAACATATCTACATGTCTTAAACAGAATATTGTTTGCATTTGCTTAAATATATTGCACAATGGAATGGCACCTGAAATCTCAGTGATTTCATTTTTGATTTATTTGGTTAGTGGCACATTTGTTGTCGACTAGGGAGAGCAGATCTTTTGAGAGCAATTTAAAGTCTTGGAAGTTGGTGTTGCTTTTCTAACTTATGTATGCTTTTTTTCCCACTCGAGGGCTTTTGATAGTATTTGCAGACAACTTACTGGAAGGCAAGCATTTGAAAATTCAGTGTGCTATGTAAATGAGCTAAAGCAACTATAGGTAGTAATTTGCAAGTAGTCTGTTGAAGGCGATTGTGAGTATTCACGTGATCTTCAGATGCTTATGCAGCTAACCACAGCTTGAATTTCTGTAGAGTTCTTTCCTCTCTTTGCCATTAACCCCTTTCTTTTCAATTCACACTGTGGGGATCTTTCTTTATTTGACATGGCTAACTAATCTTGAATGCTTTGCCAGGTTCTGATAAGCCTTGTATGTCTTCAGTCCGCTACAGAGAACCTTTTTCTTGAGCTGCAGACTGGAGTAACAACCATGGTAGTACTGCCCTGCAATACTGTCTCAATACTCAGTCTACAAAGAGAATGGGTTCACCCGTGGTATAGGTCATGTGTGCTTGCCAGGCAGATAGTGACCATGGAAGCACAGGATGGCCTTTCGGGGCTGTATGTTCCCTTATGAGTTGTGGATGTGCTGAACGGCACTGTCCAAACTTTTGGCAGCATTCACTCTGCTATGGATTTTTAATGCTACAGTTGAGCATTTATTTCCAGCTGTGTTGGTGCTCAACTTCTGACGTGAAAACTGTATTAATAATACTAGGTGGGGGAAATCTCTGTTCAGAGAAACTGGGTATGGAAATTATCTGTGCCAAAGAGCCTAGTTTAGCAACTGGAAACGGGAGGTGTGGGTTAGATTGGAAGTGGTTATTGACCTTTACAATGGCCGTGGGCTTAACTATAATGAGTGATTCAGAGATGGGTGGAGTCTACTTTATCACAATGATTTGTATAAAAATGTTCAAAACAGTATGATTTTTATCATCTTATTTCTTGCTAATAAAGGTTTCCCTTAATCTTCCTTTTAAATGCTCATTTGAGTTTTCTTTGTCACAAACTTCTAATATTTAGCATACTAGTTTTACCGAATGCACAAAAGAGGTAATTCTTCAGTTCATTTTTATTTAGTCAATTGAGTTTCCTCCTCATTCTGATCTTCTGTTGCTGTGCATCTCTGACATATTTGATATAATTTGATTTTAATTCTTAAGTAAAAGACTAACTTTAAATTTCTGCTTTTTAGTAATACTGCAATTAAATATGCTTAATCTCTCAGATGTCTCAAAGACAATTCTGTGACAGTAGTAGAGATTAGTTGGCTTCAAACGCTTTCACTAAATAAATTGAGGTTTTGTCTTCAATTTATAGGAAAAGACACATTAGTCCAGTTCAAAGACAATTACTTCCTGAACAGCAGTTGGTTAACTCATTATCTGGATTGCAATGTAAATTTTTGAATGGAGAAAAGGAACAACAGTGCTCTCTGATATTTTTAGATATTTCTCTGAAATTAGACACAGTCTCTAGTATCAGAATGCTTCAGACTTGTTACAGAGTTTAGTCTAGTCTGTGGAAACACTTTCTTTAAAGGCTTAGTTAAAAGAAAAGGTGATCACTTTTTTATAGAGCTTGGAAGCTAGAGTAATAACAATAGAGCTTTTGCAGGGAGAACTGGTTAGATAATATAGCTGTAGTTAGTGAGTGAATCAACTGACAGGTATTAAAGAAAAATAGGTTTGGGGACTGAATTGAAAGCTAGCCTTCATTAAATCTAGCAGCTTCTAAACTGTGGGAGGGCATCTGATCCCACGGTTATACTACATAAGGCAGCTCATATTTTTCTCTAGAAGTCACCAGATGGTTTTCTTGTTTGTAACTCTAGTAAATGCGAAAGCTGTTGATCACAATTGCAAAATTGTTATTCATTGTAGTGAAAGTATCTTGTACTGTGTGGAATAAACAAGGATTGTCCGTTAATTATATCACTTTGCCTGGTAAGCAATTGACAGGCATACAAGAGCGAGACGATAAGGTGTTCAATGGGTCTGAAGCCCTACTGCAAGGAAAAAGGGCCTAAAAAGTGAAATTCTAATTCAGTGCTCAGGTAACATATGAGGCTCATGGCAGTTTGAGGACAAAAACCCAAAATAGTAAATCTTATCAATTTCTCTAGTCGTTGAACCAATAGATGGATACTTTTTTGACAGAAACACCACCTCCAGGATACATCAGTGAAGATGGAGAGACAAGTGACCAGCAGTTGAACCAAAGCATGGATACAGGTAAAATTTCTTTTTTTTACCACTTTAAAGAACAGGAGTTACTAGCTGGGATCCATCTACACAATGGCATGAATTCAGCTCAAGTGATGATGGTAGTAGCCCTCTGTATAAGCTGGTCTTTTGTCTTTAAAATATCAGTCTCTTGTGGACAAAATAATTTTTGCTAGGCAAATATTTTTAAAACGTTGTGCCATATTAAGTCCACTTCATTTGGTTCATAACAAAAAGCATACAAGTCTAAATAAGTCTTTACTGGAAAGCCTTAAAATAGATTTTGAAAGCTGACTGTTTTCAACCTATCCCTGACTTTCCCTGCTGAGGACAAGCAGGAAGGTGTTAGGTTCATTGGAGGCTAGATGTCTCTTGGCCTAAAAAGGTTGCAGAAAAGCTGCTTTTTGAGAACCTATCTTGACGCCTTATCGTTTCTGCTGTATTTCAAATGAGTTCTTGTATGGTAGGGTCTACTAAAAGAATAGCAGTGTCTTTGTGTGAAGAATTACTTAGATAATCTGTTTGACTTCAGACTTGGACAAAGAATAGTTAATGTGTTGGATAAGAACCTCCTGCTGTCTGCTGGCAGACTTGAGAGAGTTTTTGGTTAGCTAATGTTAGCAACCTTTTTCAGTTAATTGGAATCAACTGCACTAGCTTATGTAAGAACTGCAATATTTTCCCACTTTGTGGCAGTAGGTACCTTAATTAAAAGCCTTGAGTTCAGCAGTAACTGCAGAAATGTTTCTGTGCAACCCCTCTTTGCACCTGAATTTTGCCTACTAGTGCTCATATTGCATTGGAGAGTTCATGTTTTTCTGAGCTTTTCCTTCCCCTTTCCAGGAAGGAGTAGTTTCCTCAAAGGAGGAAGTCCAGCTTGTTCTTTTCTAGAGATAAATCTTCTTCTTTGAGAATAGAGAGGTAATATTTTGATCATCTTGTCCACTTTTTCTTAGCTCTTTCTCACTGAATCTAGGAAGAAGTCACCAATTTCTCACTGGATTCTAAATATTATGCATAAGATATATTCAGACAGTGTGCACGAAATGGCGTCTCAGCCATATACAACACTAAGAGGTTAATAGAATCTTTACAAGGAGGGGTAGGTTCCCAAGCGTCTGAAAAATTAAATGTAATCTTAATTGAGAATAAGGATGTGACATGCTGGAAAACTGATTGTAGGATTTCTGAGGTTTCTTATTTCCAAGGAATTTTAATATAAAAACTAGTACCTAGATAGTGGTCATACCTTCCCATCTGAAATACGGGGAATTATTTACTCTTAAACAATCTGTGTTGCTCCAACAGGATCTCCAGCAGAGCTGTCTCCTAGTACTCTCTCCCCAGTTAATCATAGCCTGGGTAAGTTGGAAGTACTTTTAATTGTTTCTCTGTGTGTGATCACGCCTCTTTATATCCTTAATTACACTAAAAATAAAAAATGTACTCTCAGAAAAGAGCTGTAGCAGAAGGAGACTTCTGGGTTCACTTCCTTACAATAAACATAATAGGACTGTGTTATTAATTAGCGATGGTCTACTTCTGTTACTGTTGAGCTTCTAGCGAAGAGAAAGGGTTGTACAGTTGTGTGGGCTGCATTTATAACAAGGGCTGCAAAGATGATGAGGGGACTGGAGCATCTCTCCTATGAAGAAAGGCTGAGAGAGCTGGGCCTGTTTAGCCTAGAGAGAAGACTGAGAGGGGATCTCATCAATGTCGGCAAATATCTAAAGGGAGGATGCCAAGAGGATGGGGCCAGTCTCTTCTCCGAGGTGCCCAGTGACAGGACAAGAGGCAATGAGCACAAGCTGAACCACAGGCAGTTCCATCTGAACATGAGGAAAAAATTCTTTCCTGTGAGGGTGACGGAGCACTGGCACAGGTTGCCCAGAGAGGTAGTGGAGTCTCCTTCGCTGGAGATATTAAAAAACCTGTCTGGAAGAGATCCTGTGCAATGTGCTGTAGGTGACCCTGCTTGAGCGGGGCGGGGTTGGACTAGATGATCTCCAGAGGTCCCTTCCAGCCTTGGCCATTCTGTGATTCTGTAAATCATTTAAAGGATAATAGCCTGTAACTAGTCTTATGGGTAGATGCCAAATTTCAGAGGCAATCAAATCTCCCCAGCACGCTAATGCTCCCCAGACTGACTGTCTCCCTCTTTACATCTGTTCTGCTGCTCTTCTAATGCCCTGTTTCACCTGGGACCTCAAGACAATAGTTGCTCCCATGTTAGTTACTCACGTGCTTTGATCAGGTGCCATTGCTGTGTCTGTATAAATGCCTAGGGAAGATCAGATTCGCTGGTATTTGTTTAAAGAACGGGGAGCTGATAGGACAGGAACATGCTGTTCAGAACATTGAGCGAGTAATTAGGAGAGGTAAGAAAGTAACGCAGCAAAAGCTGAAGATACACAGGGAAGTTACTGAGGTTTAGAAGGGAGAATAAAGGGAATTTAGAGATGCCTTGAAAGAGAGAGAAGTGGAAATAGTGTAAAACAAGGGAACATAATTTTCATATTAATCATTTTTTCCTTTGTGTGGTTCAGTGTTTGATAATTTCACTTTAATATTGCCAAAATTCTTGCGAGTTACAGAAAGGCAACAGAAGTGTCTCAATATCTGGCATTCACTGCAAGTTTTGCTTAACTACTCTGCTGAGCAAAAATACAAGTCCTGAAGTACATGAGCTGCTGTGAGATTAGGTCACCCCTTCTCCCCCTTCCCTCCCCTCCTTGTGGGGAACATGGAATTCCATTCTGTTAACTGGGGTGGATAAATATGAGAGCAAGCAAAATTTAATTTGGGTAGTTTGAGAAGACTACAGCTGTCTTTTCTGGAGGAGACAAATAGGGCAGATAGGTTTCTTTTCAGCCTCAAATTCTCAGTTATTTTATTTTTTTTAATTTTTTTAGACTTGCAACCAGTTACTTACTCGGAGCCTGCATTCTGGTGTTCAATAGCATATTATGAATTGAATCAAAGAGTGGGAGAAACCTTCCATGCATCGCAACCTTCACTGACTGTAGATGGCTTTACAGATCCTTCAAATTCAGAACGATTTTGTCTAGGTCTGCTTTCCAACGTAAACAGAAATGCTACAGTGGAAATGACAAGGCGACACATAGGTAAAAATTCCTGATCTTTTAACTGTTTAATTTCATTTTAGCCATTAGGTTGTCTGAAGTGATCCAGGCAGGATGGGCTGAGCTGTGCTTTGGGCTCGTTTCACCCTTGGGCAGCCAGCTGTTGAACTTCTCCCTTGAGGCTTGCCAGAGAGAGCGTGATTTACTCCTGCTAAGGACGGAAGTGGAAAGATAAAGAAGTCCCTGCTGCCCAATCCAGAGAGAAATGTAGCAGCTTCTGTCTGGTACAGCAGCCAGCTGCAATAGAGAAGAGTTGTAGTGATGGCTGAAGGTGAAAGGAGCTACCTTTCCTCATTCAGTAGTCACTACACTGGTGGCAGCAGTAGTGTCATAGCTGTCAGGAGGCACAGGAGGAAGTACTCGGCCATATGGGTATTCTTGTTGCTCGCGTAGCTGTTCTGTCTTCTGGAAAAAGATGATGTGTTGAACAGGAGCATCTTGTAGGCAGGTTGTGGCCTGCGGGCTTCTAGCTGGACCGCACTGCCCTGGGTAGTATTTAAATTCAGAGTTGCTTATAGTTGACATTTAAGCTGTAATTAGAAAATATTAAAAGGTTGCTCAGCTTATTCTAATTTTTAAAATGCAAATTGGACATATATAGTACTACTTGACTTTTCTGGAATGTGAAAAGCTGCCATTGGGATAATGCACTGTTTTAACATGATAAAGATTTTCTTTGAAACAGTTAATAAAGAACATCATTTACCACAGTGTAGCATCTTGCTTTTAAGTTCTTCATTAAACTATATTTTAATTTTTGTTGGACTCTTTTTTTTCATTTAGCAATGTTCATTAGTGTTTTTGTTTGTTTGTTTTTTTTACTGAAACCTCTTTAGTAGAAGCTTCTGATTCCTCCCACCCCAAATCCAAACACTTATGTAATAAAGTTTAGATGTGGAGAAACCCCAGGATATGCCTGTGCTGACTGATCAAAATGGTCAATGATGAGGAAAAGCAAACATGTAAGGAGTTCTCTTTTTTTTTAAAAAGAGAAAATCCCATTTTGTTTATAAAAAGGGTTTTCAAAAGAAAAGGGGGAGAGGGCTTCTTAAACTGCAGCCTTTCAAGGAGCTGTTAATTATAAGTGATTTTCTTTTGGAGATCAGTCCTATATTGTTTCTCTTTTTTTGTGCCAGAATAACTCATCTAGATTTTTTTCCAGTCAGAACAAGAGCACAATTTAGAACTGAACAGTAGGGTGGCTTTTTTTTTCTTTTTTCTTTTTTTTTTTTTGCTAATAGGGCTGAATGAAATCCTGTTGTGTTTTTTTGTCAAAGTAGGGAAAAGAGGTATGCGGTGGGTTGCTTAGGTAGTGTGGGTGCATGTAAGAGGAGTCTGTAGAGGGGGAATACTTGTATTTTGCTTTTTTCCCATTATCTTAATGGCGTGTGCTGCTTCAAGTACAACACTTAATACTGGCATAAGTTTTAATACTGTTTGCATTTAATCCGCTTTTTATTCCAATTCCAAATATTTCTTCAAGTGAAAAAGTTCTTTGGGAATGAACACTGCTTCCTAACTTGGACTTGGTTACAAGCCCTTACATGGCTAGAAAATTCTAGCTCCCTCTTGACCAAATATTTTTCTCTGCTTTTCCTTCAAAGTAGTGTACGTTTGTGAGAGAAAAATGCAAGTTAATCGTGTTTTGCTCTCACTACAGCTGTCAGTCCAACAGTATGGTCATCTAGATAACAGATTTCTGTTGCTATTGTATTTAAAAAAAAAAAAAAAAAGCCTTGACCTTCTCTGAGGGGGAAAGAAAAACCGTCCTTGTCTGTTAATCTACTTGGGTCATACCATAACTGGAGTTCCTTTGGATTTTGTTATAGGAAGGGGAGTACGTCTCTACTACATTGGTGGAGAAGTTTTTGCTGAGTGCCTAAGCGATAGTGCAATTTTTGTTCAGAGCCCCAACTGTAATCAAAGATATGGCTGGCATCCTGCAACCGTGTGCAAAATTCCACCAGGTTAGTAGCCTTCAAAGGTCTTTTACCAAAAAATCCAGTGAACGTATTGATTTGCTTTCTTTTTGACACCTACGAGAGGTTTCTTCACAGATTCAGGCCTCTGTGTAGCAAACGCAAGTATATGTTAGCTGTACCTTTTTAACTTTTTTTTAACTTTTTTTTCCTTTGTAGGATGCAATCTAAAAATCTTTAATAACCAGGAATTTGCTGCTCTTTTGGCTCAATCTGTGAATCAGGGTTTTGAAGCAGTCTATCAACTTACTAGAATGTGTACTATAAGAATGAGTTTTGTTAAAGGTTGGGGAGCTGAATACAGGTAAGAAGAATCTTCTCTTTTCAGTTTAAGAGTTGATCATTTTCTTGTTTCACCAGTTCACTGTTTCTGTCTGACTCAAAAGCCATATATAGATATATATACAGGCTTCTAGTCACTATTGTAGATTTACTCTCTGCAGATTGAATGCATAAATTTTTCTTTTTCTCCCCCTCAGCTATGGAGCTCCTGAGTTATAAAGACAAGTAACCTGATCTTAGTATTGCATGGAAGTTAGCTGCTGAGCAAGGAATGTCATCAAAGTTTTCTTCCCTGATCAGTCCTGCCTGATTACTTATTGTGGTGAAACCACTGACTTACATCTAGAAGTTTCAATGTTTGTGCTATGGTTATTTGCTCTTTGTTAAACCTGCTGTCGTTTTAGTTTCTGTGCTGTTTTATATAGAGTGTAATGAGTTGGTTAGGATATGATGTTAGGTTTAGTAGATGGTACCCAAGGGAAAAAATTGGAGCAACTCTAAGGCCGTTGTGCAGAATAAAACAGCTGGAGAACATGTATTTAAGGGATGGCAAATACTTTGGAACTTGTAGTGGAAAAAACTTTGCAGGAGTAAGATGACTGTGTATATGTGGTAAAACTGCTTAAAAACAGTTTCTGAGTGGAAAAAATAGTCTTTTTTTCTGCTTTTGCATGGATTCCAATTGTATTCTGTATTAGCAAAACTAAAAACTGCAGCCTAGGACAGTGCCTGTTTTTAATGTAATATGGGAATTTGGAAAGAAAAGCATCTGTCTTCTACTAACTGAGCAATTTTAAAGAAGCTTTCATTATTTTGGAGAGTTTAGAGTTGTAGTTTAAAAAAGAATCCCTTAAACACCTCTAGAAAATGCTCACTGAAAGAACCAAAATCTGACATCAAATCCTATTGCAATACATAATGACTTTTTTATCCAAATTTCTCATTTTTGAAGTTGAATGATGCCATGTTGGTTACACTCTAGATCTTGAGTTTTTGGTTCTTTTTATCTGCCTTGTAAGGTATCCACGTAGATGTGAGCATCAGTATGTGGGGGAGGACTCCCAGCTAAGTGAAGCCAGTTTTGTAGAAGCCTAATTAGATGAAATGAGAAATTTGAGTAATGGAATAAATTGGTACCTCTTTGTTAGCAAGAGGTACAGAAGAAAAAAACCTGGCTCGAGTTTAAAGAACAGTTGGATTTGGCTCAAAAGGAGTATGTATACACTTAGGCATAATTAAATACAACATTCAAATGGGAACAGAAGAAAGGCTTAATCAGTCAAATGATACAGAGACAACTTGGAGTGAGTGGAGTGTTAGTGCTGGGTTAGAGCAATGGGGAGGCTTTTGGTAGAGGTTATTTCTAAGGAGGGAAAACGTTGGTTGTTAGTAATCTGTGAACCCTTAGAGATCGTAGGGTTGAAAAAGCTCCAGTGGAGACACTGCCGGAAGAGAACAGAAATTGGTTACTGACCTAGCAGCGTACTAGTTTCCTTGCCTCTATTTAACGTGGTGCTAACAAATTATTGATGCAGTAAACTTATAGGTTGTGCTACGGTTGTGATTAAAGCAAGAAGAGGTTGCTACTACAAGCACAACCGTGAATTTAAATGAATATAGTTTCAATTGTCGAAATAGGTGGTGAAGTGAGGTAAAATCACTCATTCTTGTAAGACTTTTGTGCTGCATTGTTATGTCAAAAATGTTTCTCATAGAATAGACTTGGGCAAAGCTGGATGATAACTTAATTTTTTGTTTGATTATGTACTGGCTTAAATTGAGGATTAGGTTAGAAATTCAGACACCAGCAGTTAAGAGATCATATTTACACTATAACTATCTAGTGTTAGAATCATCTGAAGAAAGTTAAGTAGAGGTAACTATAGCAGAGATGAAGTGATATGGGTACTGGAAACTCAGGGGTAAAAAAGCTGAGTTTAAGCTTTGAGCAGACTGTTAAGGGGCTACCAGTGTTTCTCTTTTGCCAACTTAGTGACGAGCTAGGGCTGTTGAACGAAAAACCAGTTATAAAGTTTTGGGGAAGTATGTTATGGAACACGTTGTAGGGGAGTTGACAGCAGGGGAATAATGCACTTCCTTCTTTGGGAGAGGATTCGAGACTAAATGGAATTATTTCCTGTGGTTTAGATTGTTCTTTTATTGGATCACTTTGTTTTGGCATAGGCGTTCAGTAATAAGATAACAATGCTTTTCGGAATGCTAAGAGAGCACCGACCCCGGCCACTTTCTTGTCCTAGAAAATGTAAAACCACAGACAGCTCTTGAAATCTGTCCTCTCGCTGGCTTAATTTTTCTTCCTTTATAGTTCCTTTGTTTATATAAACAGATTTACTTAAAACAGAGGGTTGCAGTGTCAACCCTAAGAGAGAAGGGGTTGTGTTTCACAGAATCACAGAATCGTTTAGGTTGGAAGGGACCTCTGGAGATCATCTAGTCCAACCTCCCTGCTCAAGCAGGGGTCACCTAGAGCATATTGCCCAGGATCACATCCAGACGGGATTTGTGCCTGACTAATCTGCTGTCATTGAATCTTAATGCCTCCTCCTTTGACTTTGGAATAGCTAGAGTTACTAGGAAAAAACTGGCTTAGCAACAGTAGTCTTGCCTTTCTAGTTCAGGAAATCTCCCATGCCTGGAGTCGGTACAGTGAAATAACAGGATTTCTCAGGTACAGTAAGTCCAGTACTGATTTCTTGAATATGGTAGTGGGAAGGAAGATTGAATAACAGATCCCTAAAACAAGGATGCATGGGAGAATTAATGAAGGTTGTCAGTCCTTCAGCATTACTGAGGCTTTCTATGTGCTGTTCAATTAAAGGCTTCTATTCTGTATCGACTTGCCTGTATTTTTCCAGAAGACAAGGGGAACGCACAATTTTTACTTAAATTGTTTGCATGAGGATGTTGCAGTAAAAAAACAAATGTAGAAGTATAAATAAGATCACAGGAAATCAGAGATGAAGTTTGATGTTCCTTTAAGATAACATCACTTAACACAATGTAACCACATACTGCATTACAATGCGGTGTTTTTGACAATATCTAGCACAGTTCCCTTATACATTTCTCTTAAATTCCTCCAAAAAGCCAGACCTTATGATTGTGATAGTATTGTGCTATTCAGCCTTGCTGACTGTGCTGAGCAAAGTGTTTCTCTTCCTTATTTCTCAGTAGCTGTCTTCCAAATTCAAACCCAGTTATGCATGCAAACTCTTTGAAGATTAAGATATTAGCTGTGTGGGGCTGACTGTGATATGAACATCAGATCAGCCTCAGTTTTTGAATCTCTTTTTGAAAGTAGGACTTCTGATGTGGCACTTGAAGCAAATGCTGCAGTTACAGTTTTACTCTGCAGAGTAAAACTAGATTCTGGACATTGAAGAAATACCTGTAATTATTGACACATCTTAAATGTGGGGTGTTTTTGCGAAGTCTATCTGAAAAACTTAGTACAGTGATGTAATGGTTGCAGATTTTTATCTTTCTGTGTGGTAACCAAAGCCGCTTTCTGACTTCTCTATTCCTCTTCGTTTTCTAGGCGGCAAACGGTAACAAGCACTCCGTGCTGGATTGAACTTCATCTGAACGGACCTCTACAATGGTTGGACAAAGTATTGACTCAGATGGGCTCCCCTTCAGTACGCTGTTCCAGCATGTCGTAAAACTCCTTCCTCCGTTATCAGTGGGCTAAATATTGAGTCCAGTCAACAGACTTAATATAGCAGCTCGTCTGTCGTAGTATTTGTGTGTGGTCCCCATGAACTGTTTACTATCCAAAAAGGTTTTTAAAAAAAAAAAAAAAAAAAGAAAACAGCACTTGAGGTCTCATCAATTAAAGCACCTTGTGGATTCTGTTTCCTATACTCTGATACTAGATGAAAATTTAGTGTATAGAAGCACCTCCTTCAGAAAGAAGAAGGGACAGTTCTAAAGACTCTTAATGGTGTTTTTATTGGGTATATAATTGAGTGTCCGAATGGTTTATCAATAACATGAATAGTTAAGTATATGTACAGGTAATGTATCATGATCTCAAATATCACAGTATTGTGCTGTTCTACATTTTAGTTCCCATAAATAGATGTTTGTTTTTTTTGATTGGGGCAAATCTCTCAAAATTCCAAGACTCTACTCCTTTATTCTTTTATATTTTTTATATAAGCAGGTTTTCGAGTTGTCCTAAGCATAAAAAGCAGACTTTCCTTGTAGAAAAGCTTACCTTTTTGCTGCCTTCTTAAAGAAAAAGAAAATCCCTCCATTGGAAGGGAAAGAAACGTCTGAGATTCATCTGTGAAATCTTAAGACACTTTATATGCTTAATGGGGCCTAAAATGAATTCATATTATAAATTCCAAGTATCCATCACACTAGGAGTCTACTTTTCCCTACCCATCGGAGTTGATGCGCCTATTGCCAGCAATAGGTGCACTGACATTGCTGGCACTGATGCATTTGGGACTTTTTTTGTATCTTGAATCATTGAGATCAGTGTTTTTCTCATGGAATGAGAATTTTTAGTAGCATTGGATACTGGATTAAATATACAAGGTTATTGGCTAACCCCTTACATCTGTATGTTTTAATTAAGCAGATGTCACTAAGAATCTTATTTTTTAGCTTTTGAAGCCAAACACCTTGAAAAATCCTCTCCCAGGGTAAACTAGACTCTTTCATATAGGTTTTAAATAGATGCAGCTTCTTAACATATTTCAGTAACAGAACTTAAATTTATGATCTGAGTGGCTTTGTATAGCTTACTTACTTACCAGATCATATGCATTCATTATGTCATAATGGGCCTTGTTATTAAAAGTAGTTGCTTCTGCAAAACCTCTAGGATAGTGGTTGCTGAGGTATGACCAGCGAAGGAGGACTTCTAGGTTCTTCATGACAGTGCATGTTATTGTGAACCCTTGGACACTACAGCTGCACCATATTAAAAATATTCTGAAATATATTCTACAAATAAGTCTGGGTTGGGGAAGGGTTGGGAAACTGTATAGAAGGGTTATTCTGACTTGAAAAAATATACATCTTACTAACAATCTTGTGATCTAGCTGTCTGTCATTCTTTTGTTATTGTGGCAGTAGCAGGATTGCCTTTGTCTGTTTTTTTTTTTCCCCATTTTCATCCATTACACTAGTACTGTACTTTGTAAGTACAGCTAGTGATAACTTAGCTTTGAGAACAAAAATGTGGCCAGTGTTACAGCTTTTAATCAGTTGACTGAATTGATCATAGTGATGGATATTTTTATGCCATAATGACTAGGGCATAGAAGCAATACCAAAAATCAAGCCTTGAAAAAGTGGGCCAGACAACTCTTAAAAATTGGCAAAGCAGTTACCGGTTTGTGCTAGTTTTACCAGTAGACTAATGTATTGGTAGAACTTGTGAACCTAAGAAATAAGCTTCATGCGTGTTGCATTTGCCTAATATGTGAATACACTAATAAAAGTTTTAATTCTCATGATGGTTGTTTTATTATTATTATTTGCTATGTATATATTTCCTGTTGAAGGACAGGAGTCATTCTAACCAACCTAAAAAAAAAAAAAATGGCAAGTCTCCTGCGTGTTGTGGCTAGAAAGCTATAGTTAAAATCACTTCTCGTTCAGCTATCTTGAAGGCTCTGGTGTTTATTCAGTGATAGAGGCTTTTACTCCAAATCAAGTTTATAAAAGCAGTCGCTTTTTTTTTTTCCTACCAGACAAATTACATCTTACCAGCTCAGATATTTACTTTCACCTATGAAACAGTTAGATAAGAGTAAGTGGCTGGGTGAAAGACTCCATCGCATTTATGAGCAGGTTGCAGCTTGAATCAGTTGGGTGATCTAATTCTCTAGTCTCCTTGCTGCGGGTTTCTGTGTGTTCTCTTTCAGCTATGGCAATATTACTTGCTTTGCCTTGAGCATTGCAGTAACCTTGACTGTAGGCTTTTTTAGTGCACACTCCCAAGTAGTTAGCGTACAAGGACGCTACAGACGTTATCTGTGGACCTGTGGCACTGCCTGCATGCAAGGCTATCTTGGTCTGTGTAGAAGTCGTTTTTTTGGCTTTTGTTAGTATCATATAAAATACTTTTTTTGTGCCATTAATGTTTCTGCAGCAGCTTTGTGGAATGAGGGAACTAGTATGTGTTTGAAGTGTTTACTTGCCTGTATTTCATTTAAATGCCTTTGGCAGTCCATGTGTAACTCTGACCTACTCCTGTTTCTAAATCCAGCGCCTTTCTGACTTATGCCACTGCTGTTCTGCTCTTCCTCAAATATGACCAGTGCCTCCTCAAGCATCTTAATGCAGATTTCTGCCTGCGGTATGTAATGAATGTGACTTCATCCCTCTTCTGTTCTGCTGGTCAAAGTACCTAAGTCCAAACTATAAGTGAAAAGTGAATTACTTTTTTTGGTGAGACTTTTTTGCTAATAGTAACTTAAGCAAGGACTAATGAATTTAGGTACCCTTGAGTATGGCTAGCCGGATGGTTATCTGCATCACAAAGCTTGAAAAATTTCTCTATGTAATGACTATCACCATAACTTTGGACTGGGATTCCCTTTACATGGCTTCTGATCTTTCCCTTGTCCCTAGCCCTGCTTGATTTTGATTTCCGTAGCTCTGCCAAAGCCACGTAATCAAAAGTCAGGTAGCTCACGTAAACGCCGAGGCTAAAAAAAGGTGTTTCTGAGTTGCCTCTTAGCCACGTGGATGCACTCAGATCAAGTATCAGAACCCTTCCCCACCCTCCAAAAATACCCCAAATTTTATTTAAAAGTTCTACTTCCAGTTACATGACTGGACTTCAAAAACAATGCCAAGTGCCTGGCATCTTGTACCTTAAACTGTAAGGACTGATAGTGGAACATCACTTCTTTAATTCCCTCTTCCTTTGTGTGCATGTTGCCTATTTAGGTGGGAAACTCTCTGCAACAGGAATTCTCTGCTGGTATTGTAGCGTCTTGCACAGAGTCCTCTGCCTTATTTGATTTCTAGACGCTGTTATACAAATCTAGAATATTTTGAAATTTGTAGTGTTGTCTTGTTCTTATTCAGGGCATTGTGCTTAATCAGTACTTGAGCTCCTTGAGACTGATTGCAGGCAAATAGCGTAAATAGTTTGACTTTAGACTCCCTGTAATCAACAGGGAGAAGTGAGCTCTGGACATGGTTGGTGCTCTGAATTGCTTTCCAGCAGAGAGCCTAGGCTATTGACTAAGGTGACTAGTTTAAATGCTTAGGGTAAGTATGAGTATCTCCTTTATTTAAAAATAAAAAATAAAAAGCCTGAGTGCTATCAAAGTAGGCTGCTTAGATGTTCAAGAGTAGTAGCTTTAGAGTAGTTTACGCAGTAAAAAGTAGACATCACACCTAACATATTTCACTAAGCTTTCTTTATTTCATCTGTCCAACTTGACTTTTCATGTTGAAGTGGGAGGGTGTGAAGTTTGGGGGTTTGGTAATCATCTGCCTCCATAGCAGTGCTGAATTGTTGGCACAGTGAACTGCAAGTGTTTTGTTTAACCTTCAAACTTGTCATACTTCATTGTGGTTACAGCTTTTTTTAGCATTGCAAACTGAAATGTTAATGCAGCTGGGTTTTGAGTTAAAATATTGTGAAATACAGGATTTCACTATACTCCACCCACGCAGCGTTTCACTTGAAGAATGAAGCAGTGTTCCTCTTACCAGAACAAGTTTGACTATAACCTGATTTTGAGGACTCAAGCTTCATCACTACTCTGAAGAGTTGATGAAATAATTGTCTTTATTAGAAAAAATACACCTATCTCGGGTAACATGCCAGCTGTATTAGAAAGTACTTCTAGGAGGAAGGAATTATATTGTTGTTTGTCTGAAAGTTTATTACCAGTAGGAAAATACTAATGAAATGTGTATTTTCCTGACCTCTTAAGCTTGGGTACTAACTAACCATCACAAACTGTTCGCACTAAAGAAGGGCATTTAGAAATAACCAGTAGCTATGTTGGTCGTCTTCTCCATATCTCTTTCCTGTAAGAATTCCTCTAAGTAAGGCTGATGGTGTTTCTTCTCTTGGGAAAGCACAGTTTGTGGAGGAAGTTTCTAGTAATATGTTGTCACAGCTACAAAAACTGGAATGGAAGCTTCAAAGCTGAGAACAGCCTTTGATGTTTCATTAGCTGTTGTTTCATTAACTGTAGTCAGGATTAAATCTAGTCAGTTGGCAGAAGAAAAATGGATGACAAATAATGGATATGCAAAGATGTGAGACCTTGATGCTCTTGATCTTCTTCCCCCACGTAGAAGATCTGGTCAGAAGGGATTGTAATAACGTCCAGTTGCTTGTTCTGTTCCTGTTGAGATAGGTTCCAAAGTGGCAACGGACATACACTCCTGCACAGCTATTTTTTCCTTTTAAAGTGCAACACTGAAAAGTGAAACAAAGCTTCAGGGATTCTGTTGGTGTTTGGGTTAACAGCGTCTAGCTATGTGCTTGTCTAAAGCTTTAGTAAGATATCTTAAAGTTATGCATGGCTCATGAATTAATTGAACTTATGAGCAATGTGCACCTGACTGAGAATAGCGATTATTAAATTTAGCTTTCAGCAGTTGCAGTTTATCTTTGGATAAAGGGGTGGATGCTGTCCAACCGTTCTTATTTTGAGAGGAGTTGCCTGGGCAGTTGGTCACCTTTGATCAGGGGAAGAACTGGAGAGGGAGGCTGGAGGATCTAAAGCATGCAGCCTTTTACAAGGAAGCAGGAGAAGAGGCAGTTCTGGTTTTAGAGCCCTATTCTGGAGCAAGGCATTCCTGACTCCCTAGTTATTTGTCATATACTCAAAATTCTTCAGATATGAGGCAGTGTGACAGGGAATAGTATATAGGTAAGCTTAGTTTGTCAAGATTTGTGAACTGCTTTGAAAAAACACTAATGCATAGTTAATTCAGAAACACTTCAGAAGTCCTGTCTCTTCTGCTTGTGTTGTATGTCCTTAAAGAGCTGATCTGTAGGCTTCATGGAGTGAACTTGAGAAAAAGATGGGCTTTAAGCCATTGAGATTTGGGGAGGAGGAATTCGACGCAGATTCCACAGAGCTTTCATGGCTGGGTGTTGGTGTACTTCTCTCTGAAATCACCGCTGGAACCTGTGGTAAAAAATGCCTCGGGCAGGAGAGGCAGGCTTCTCAGGAGAGAACAAGACTTATCCTACTGAAGCCCGGAGAAGAGCAAAATGTATCATGCCACGAAACAGCAGCAGTGTGGAGATTCCTGAGATGGTGGAAATTTGAGTAAGGCCTCATGGAGAAGGACTACAGTCAGAGGAGATGTTAGCTGAGGCACAGCTCCTAATGAAAGAGGCACTGTTTCTTCTGGACCTAAGCTGAGTTGTATGCAGCTGTGTGAGTTGTGTTGTTTGTCTGTACTGTGCTTCATCACATACTTGGTTCCAGAGCTGGCAAGGGCAGATGAAGCTCAGGTTTGTCCCCTCTGCCAGAATAGATAGGTAAGAGCTCAGCATAGTCCCCGGGGTTGAATGAACGTCCACTAGCTGGGCTATTGTCTTAACAGTGCAGAAATGACTTTAGAATTAGTTGCTGTGTATTTCTGCAAGTGATCTGTTGAACAGCAAGTGGCATTGACATTGCTAATCCAGAAATGACAGGATTTGTAGTGGGGAGCAAATGAAATTGTTACTTTGGATGAGGACTGTCGTGCATCTGAGGAGCTAAGCAGCCTCAGGTGGGAGAGGACTGTAGCGTGCTGAGGCAGGCTGGGGTAAGGGGAGTCTGGAAGAAGTGAAGAGGCGTGGCTGTGAGTTGGTAAAGAAGAGAGAAAATAGTTTGAGATGTGAGGAGACTGATGGAAAAGAGGGGCTGGGATGTGCCACTAACAGTCTGAGGGGAAGAGGAGGAGTTTGAGGTTATGAGTCCAAGAAGTTGAGGGCCTTTGAGCTGGGAAGGGCTGTGGTTGCTCAGAAGGGCATCCACCCTTGATTGAACATACCTAACAGAGCCCAGGCTGCGGAAGAGACGTATGTGCAGCACTGAGCTGTACGTGTATACACCAACATAAACCCTCCCTCCTCTTTTTGCAGTTAATCTTGGAAAGATAACACTAACTTAGGAACAATAGTTCCTTTCTAGATAAGTATGCTATTTTTTCTTTTATAGTTTCAGGAGTCTGATAATCCAATGGGAGTCAAAACCACAGTTATTAGCAAGGCTGATGTTAGTACTGATGTGAGGGAAAATATCTTCATAACGTGCTCAGACTTTGAGGTTTGTGCTGTGTAAGAAGTTAAAACGGGCAAAGAGCCACGATTGAGAAATGCTACAGTTTTAATAGAACAGAGCAAGTGGTGGAGCTGAAAAAATGGGAGGGTCTGATGCTCAACTTCAGCAGTGATACTCAAGTCATTAAAAAGAACACCCTTACCAGTATCTGAGCGCTTTTAACGTGCATCTGCTAATAAAGTTCACAAACCTAT